TGTACATATATGTATATGTATATGCACATGTATATATATAGATACATATATCCATACATACATGCACATATATGTGTGTTTATGTATGTATACATGTATACATATATAAATATGAGTATAGACAAATACTGTATCCTATGAGCATATTGCAGACAAGTCGCGTCTGGCAGGAATTTGCAAACTAGGAAAGCGGTGAAGGATCAGCAGACTTCTTGGTATCTTATAGTGAGGAGATACAGCTTGCAGACAGGAAGCTTTGGGCTGTCTGTCTGATGCTCGCAGGCGACCCTCTTTTATGCAAGAAGGGCCCCCCCCAATCCCTTGCCCGTTGTTGTCGTGGGGGGGCTTAGGAGACGAAGACTGAGACCCAATACAGGGATCTCCCCTGCCTAGGGCCTCAGCCCTCGACTCAACTAATTTTGCATGGTCTTTTTTTTTCTCCAGCTTTTGTTTCCGTCTCTTCTCCATCCCCTTCTGCTATCTACTTCCTAAGGTGTGAGAGCCGTGCTGAGAGGATGAAAGGCTGACCTAGTGCCAGTCCTGAACGGCCTGCGGGAACTATGGGCACGGTACTCCTGACTTATCTAGCCCTTACCTTCAGTAGCGAAAGGAGGTGGACCGAATAGGCCTATTTACATAATCCAGGTTCCCCATGACCAGTAATGAGAATGTAATCCCTTTATTAGAGGCTATGAGGCTAGCCCCTTTATCAAATAGCCCCAACCCAGGCTCTCCTTTGACCACGGCTCCGAACACTGAAACTACTGCCCACTCCTCAATGCCTACTAGTGCATTACCCACCCAAGCAGAGAATCAATCTCCAGAAGACATTCCTACCCACCCAACTTCCTCAAATTCAACTCCACCACTGCAACCTTCATCAAACAACCAATCCTCCCTTATTACTACCTTGCAACCTTATTCTCCATCATTCCATAATACTCCCTCTTCCACACGTCCCCGACCATCCACCACCACCAACCCTACAAATATCTTAAATACTCTGTTTATCCCAGCTAAATGGGACCGATTTTTCGTGATCCCTTCTACAGCTCCTTACTCGGGCAACACTCTTCTCTTTCAACAATGCCTCCAGAAACAAGTAGGCAGAGTCCCTTTCTATACCAGACGCGATCGCTCCCGTCTGGTAACAGTCAAATCAGATACTGAATCTATAGCACTGTCAAATTTAACTGATCATTCTGGCAACCCCATTCCTGCAGAACCTCATCCAACCCTTAATACCTGTACCGGAACTGTCTCTCTCTCCCCAGCAAACTGCCCAGTCGATACCAAAGATTGGTCAGACTGTGGAGAAGACGTATTAGGATGCCTCAAAGACCAAGATGTGAAATCAGTACATTGCTACACCATTCCTCCTAAAGGTCAACGAAAGAATCCGACCAACATTGCCAAAATTACCTTCTGTACACATGACCTTCCCTTACGTATCTACATTGGTGGACAATCCCTCCCTGTTCGACCATACCAACCCCCTCCACGTCAATGTCAAAACTGTTGGCGCTTTGGACATCCTGCCAAACATTGCCGTTCCACAGACCGATGCCCCATATGTGCCCAACCTGGTCATAATCGATCAAACTGCTCAGCACAAACACGAACATGTGCTAACTGCGGCGGCCCCCATAATGTATTTTATAGAGGCTGTCCCACTTACAAATTTGAATCTGAGGTAGCAACTCTCAGATACAAAAATGGTCTCACTTTACGTGAAGCCAGACAGGAAGCACGTCGACAAGGTTTCTCTCATACTCCATATTCTAGCAACATCGTCCGCTCAGCCCTTCCCCCTCCACCCAAAAATGTCCCCATTTCCACTTCTACATTCTACATCCCTCAGACCAATTCCTTTGCCACTCTAAACCCAGACACCCCAATCTCAACCACAGCTCCTATCTCAACTACAGCCCCAACACCAACCCCTCTCCCTCCCCGCACTACCCGCAGTAGACAGACTAAACGTTCTAACCCTTCTTCCCCTACAGCACAATCACCTCCACCTACCTATACCTTTGTTCCTGAGACACCAGTCTCCTCTTCCCCCCTCATAAGAAAACCTTTATTCCACAAAACTCTCCAACCAATTCCATTGCAGAAACAATTACCTTCTCACAAAACTCTCCAACAAACTCCACTGCAGAAACAATGGATGACATTCAAAGCTATATGCTTGAGACACAAAATCCCATAACTCATGCTCCTTCCACACTTGAAGTGGTTGCCGGTATTCATAACCCTCCTACAAATATTCCCCCTACACCCCTTCCTCTACTCCCTCCCAACACAACCTAACCCCCTCAATCCCAACCACCACTGATATCCATCCTCCCAATACCCATCCTCCTGATATGCATCCCCCTCTTACTCACAGCACCCTACACCCCCTTCCTCCAATCCCTCCCAAGACAACACATCCCCTTCAACTCCAACTATCCATCCTTCTGATATTCATCCTCCTAACACTAACACTCCCCACACATCTACTCCCTCCCAACACAACCCACCCCTTCAACCCCAACTATAGGCACATTCTCCCTCCCTCCATCCCCTCTATCCTTTGCACTCCCTCCAGGATACACACGAGAATCACTCATGGTACAACAATGCCCTTCTCCAGACTCCCTACCTCCTAATATCCCTCCTTTACACCCCCTAGCTCCTTCCCCTTCAAATTCCCCAACACGTAAATGTGTTATCATTCATAAATCAACTAGGGTATAGCTCTCCTACATTGGAATATTCGCGGTTTCCGCTCTCATAGATCAGACCTACGTCATATCCTTGCTTCTTATAATCCATCTATTATCTGCCTCAAGAGACTTTCCTCACACACCCTCCTATTCCAATTCCTAATTACCATTTTATCTCTTCCCCACACTCCCTTTATGTCTCGTCTATACTTATCCATCATAAAACACCTTATGTCATACCTCCCATACAAACTTCTGTCCCGTGCACAGCTATTCGCATCTTTCTTCGCCGCTGGATCACAGTGATTTCAGTCTACTTCTCCCCATCCCATCCCATTGACTTTACTGCCTTTGACACTCTAATTTCCTAACTCCAACCACCTTTCCTCATAGTTGGTGATTTCAACTGCCGCCACACTCTGTGGGGTGACTCTACCACCAACTCCCGAGGCCGATCTCTAGAACGCTTCCTCTTCACAAATAACCTAATTATTCTTAATTCAGATCGCCCCACACACTTTGACGCGCACACAATCCTTTTCATGCCTTGACCTCTCTCTATGCTCTCCTACTTTACATCTAGATTTCCATTGGTCAGTTCTAGACCACTTCCCCTGTAGTGACCACTTCCCAATACTCCTTTCTCCTACTTCATATGTACCACTTCCTAATCCTCCACGCTGGTGCTTCGATAGAGCTGACTGGCATACTTTCACTTCGCTTCTCTCTATACCTATCCCTCCACCCCCCCTTACTGTCCATTTCAGATATGCTACATTGTTTTACAACAACGATCCTAAGAGCTGCCTATACAGCCATTCCTCGAACTTCAAGACCCTATACTTCTAAATGTGTTCCATGGTGGAATTCTGATTGCTCCAAAGCGCTCCGCTTAAAACGAGCAGCCTGGAACAGCTATCGCTACAAACGAGGCACCCCTCACCAGCTATCAGCCCTT